GTGCGCCCGCCTCCTCTCGCTCACCTCATACTTAACTTTCCACCGGGTAGTCCCTGAATTAATAAAACCGGAACAAAAGAACCCCTTAGAAATGCGCAGGGCACACACACGCACAACACACAAAACCCTGATAAATGTTTAAATTATTAAAAATCCAATATTTCAGAATGCATAACACAATAAAAAGAGTATGACTACGCCATACAAAAGACTGCTAGGATAAATGGCCTTGCATTGAGCAGATTTCCACTGTATGAAATAACGAATGGCTGAATTATCGGAACAAAAAAACCTCCGTGAATCTTCCTTTAAACTGGTTATTCCTCAGGAATACATAAATCTTCCTAGGCAGGGCACTCTGCCATCTGTTTGCTGTTGGTTATTTTTGCAGCTCTGGGGGCCAAAGGAAAAGGGGGAAAAATTACTTCTGCTAATAGCAAAACAGAATTTATAGCGCAGTTGCAATGCTCAGAAGTAATTTTATTTCAGCAAGCCAGACAAAACACATAACTAGACAAACAAAACATAATATTACCTGGGACAGCTCTGGTGGGGGAAAAGCCAGCTATTATCTAATGGTCTTTTTGATAGCTTTTCCCTCCTCATCCAGACTGGGGAAGTGTGCTGCCTCGACTAACCAACGGCTTCCAAGTCAGCACTGGGAAAAGTGGGTTTTGTACTTAAAACAATAACAACTACAACAAAAAACAAACAAAACCCCACTTCCTTCTGATTAACAGTTTCTAATCTATTCTTCCAATAAGAAAAAAATACAGCATGAAATTTGTGAAAAACAAGCCATTGTTCAGTGTCTTGGTATCTCTGAGGTGGAGAAAAGGAACCCTCTAGACACAGTGGGCACTGGCCCTCCTCACCATGGTCGTTCCCCACCTGAGGGCACATGGGCCACATCAAACCGGGAGCTGAGGAAGCACAGCTAGATAAACAGGCAAAGCATGAAGAAAAGAAACACGCTAAGTACGGCAGAGAGGAAGCTACAGAAAGACAGGCTCTTGGTAACATAACATCTTAGTAGCCAAGTATCACTAAAGGAATATACAAATCAAGCAGGAAGAGAACTGACTAAAAAACTTACATCTCCTAAGCACAACCTATCCATCCTTCAGAAAAACGTCATAAAAGCATTTCAAAAAAGGGCTAATATAATCAGTAGAGCATGCACAGAAACTCCATGACTCCAGTAAGTGTATGGTAGGATTCACCTCGGGGTAACTGAAACTCCATCCCAAACCTCCAGAAAGAATTGATCTTTGCTAAGGTATAATCTCAATGGGAGTGAATCGCTTGGTTTTCAAGTTGAACATGGACTATAACAGACATTATCACAGCATCACAGTCCATCTGTCCTCCTTATGCACGAAGTTGCACACAAAGCTGCAAATAATTCTAAATTCACAAATTGCAATATGGAAGATAAATTCAACAGTTATGTTAAATATACATTTGCAAATAGAAGTTTTTGTTAAATTTCATACTCTGATATTTTAAATTAATAAATGAAGAAAACCCTATATGATATATGAATTTAGAAATATAGTAAATATGTTCTATATTCCCTAAACAGAGCAATTATTTTAGGTACCCAACTTAGAGCAGCTTCAAGTCAGAGCAGGTGCATGACTCTTCCTTTAAACCAGCACTACATCAAATGTTTCAAATTGCAGTTATCATAAGTGGAACACCAAAAAGCAACTGCAATTTTTGAGAAGACGAGGTGCTTCTCCTTCCCTCTCCCGCAGACACACACACAAATATACTTGCTAGTCAACACCTAAGTCAAACTGGATCCAGGTGTTGCTGGAACTGTTCAACGCACCACACTCATCTACATGCCGTGCAAACGGACTTAATGAAAAATGCATGAGTTCCTGCACAAAAAAATGCAAATACCTCCGCTTGGTTTTGAATCACCACCATGATCCACCCAGGAGGGGTGAAGCCAATGAAGGCAGCCATGCTGGGCCCTGAGGTGCCCTGGCCTGGGCTCGAGGAAGAGGAGGAGGAGGAGGAGGAAGAAGAGGAGGAGGAACGCTCGTGAGAGGTTCCCCACCATTACCTGCTGAGCTGTTCACCATGTTCGGGGCCATGCTGTACGGGGGAGCCTGCGGCGTCATCAGGCCGGAGCTGTTGTTCATGGGCTGAGTGTAGGGCGAGCTGGATCCCATGATGCCACTCTGGTTCATGGCAGGAAAATTGCCTTGCCTGCGAGAAGAGAAAGCAGACACGGAGCGCCGCATTACCCACCACGTCGTCCAAGACGGGAGGGTCGCACATCTCCTCTTGCTTGCAAAGAGCTAAGGGAAAGGCACGCCATTAGGTTACTCCCACCTGTGTGGGGAGCTATTAGTGTTGAATTAGTTACTGCATGTCTAAGACAGAATTAGACTGAACACAAATTTCAAGAAATGTACACAGTGTTTTTAAAAGTCACGACCCTTCAGCAGAGAATGTATAGCTCGTATTTTTCATCCTGTGAGTACAGAGCAATGCAACCAGGAGTCAAAAAGTACATGGGATTGGTGTAAGAAACTCAAAGTGAACAGAAATTTTGATCATGTAATAGGAATCCTTGCCTGCCATAACTCAGAAAAATAGTGAAATGACCAAAGGAAAAACGGTTGCCATAGAACCCATTTCAGATTTCTTCATTTGATGTTTTCACATATGTCTTGTTTCCTGTAAACACTTCAAATTCCATGGTTCAAAAGAGCAAACCAATTGCATGTGAGCATTTAGCTTGGGCATAATCCATGACCAAAAGCGGCATACACGCAATTCCCAATGAAATCACTTACATGTAACTTCCCACTTCTATGTCTTTTCCTTCCAAACAGATTTTTTTGTGCATCACAACAGATGTTCCTGTTTCCAATATTCATTTAGAGCCCAAATTCTCTTAGTAAATACCATTAAAATGATCACAGACATAACTGCAGAATTGTATAAAATAACTGTGCTGCTCATGTACCATCTATGTCTAGTCTTTCAAGAAGTGATGTCCATACTAAACTTTTGTGGAAACAAGAAAGCTCAGCAGGGTTTCTTCTATGTTGAAAGTTAATCACATATCTGTATAATGCTTTCATAGCTGAGATTTGTTTGTTTGAAAAAACTGTCCTCAATAAAGCCCTTAACTAATTCTATGGGCCCATATACTTCAAATATTTTTGAAAAAGAACACTTACGTGTTTTTTAGTAGGTAAGTACACTTTATGTGCTTAATTTAGCAGATTAAATAGACAAATTGTGGCACAATAAGAAAATACCCAACCAGGGTAAACGGCATAACACACTGTAACACAGGGTTCGTCCAGTTCAAAATCAACCTTCTATTCTTTTCACCCCATAATACAAGTATCTACATTTTCTTGGTATAGTTAAAACTGCATATAGTATGAAATATATATATTTAAACATCAATAAAATCATATATACAGACATATAATGAAGTGCATAAGTATACTCACTTTCTTATTCATAGCCTATATAGGAAAATACAGAATTCAGACCTGCTTCCTCAATGTACTACGAATTCCATGCCATTTTTCAAAATAAATAAGACGAAAAAGGAAGAAAATCCACCCTTCCAGCACTTTGGTACCTGTCAGCTCTTGCTTCCCTCCCATGAAAAGCATCATATAATTTTATCATATGGCTAGCAAAAGTTGCATTTCCTGGTAGCAAGATACAGTTACAGGTATAAATTCTACTTTTCAATTATTATACGATACTCAAACAAAACAAAACAAAATGTCCAAGCTAACCACCCTGAAGAACTTAAATGTTGCCTTCCCTTCTAGCTAGATTCCTAACATGATTGGCAGAAATAGTTTTCTTTTTTATAAGGTACAGGAAAAGGAGAGAGGAAGACGACCATTAAAGCACTATTTGGCCTAATTTTTCTTGACACATTGTGAATTTCTTCAAAGGAATAGAGAATGTGTTATCTAAATAAAGCATCTTTTTTTTTCCAAGTCAGTTTTGTCCTTTGCTCTGTGAAGACAAACTCTTCTTCACTCTTGCAAAGAGGCAAAGACTTTCTTTTGATATGAAGGAGACAACTGCCACACAATGTCATTTCCCTGATGAGGTCTGCAATGCGCGGTGGAGGGAAAAGATTTAAAATGCACAATGGTGCAGTGCTCCAAGGGAAAATTACAAAGGCAAAAGGGAAGAGCAGGGCCGTTTGGCAACAACTTTAAAAGATTTCAGTCATACAGTCAACCTTTTCTTATGTAAATACTGTATCTTAACCCCCACTTCCCCACCCCCAGCACTCCTCAAATTTTAAGTTAAACCTGCTGTATTTTAACAAACACATTTAATTGAGAAATTCTCCCTATGGTGGAAAAGTAGGATTCTTTTCAATATAGACTAAAGATACAAGCAAAGATGAGAAAAGTGTGCAAGTGCATTTTTTTAGCTTAAAAGAAATAATAGATTTTGAAAGGTTCTTTTAAAGATTCCAGGAAATACTGAACTCTCTAAAGGTATTTGTCTTTCCAATGCCCTTCATTTGCTTTAAAAAACACACAGCAGATTTGCACCTTGCAGGTAAGCTGAAATTGGTCTTGACCTACTAATATTTCAATACTATTACTTCCTATAGCATGAGTATCTTCCAAACTGTGGGGCTGTTCATTGTCTCAAATTGAGGTACAACCTATTTCATGTTACCCACCACGGGCATCAATCTCAATTGCGGTCCACGAAAGCACACTGCTCTACAACAGCTCTAAATCAAAAAGTAGAAAACTATTTCCAGTTTAAACTGAGTGGGAATTAAATAAAAGGCACATACTAGCTTTCGCCAGGACAGTGGAAAAATGACCAAAGTGTAAAAAAAAATTGCTTCTATACCCTGAAAGGCCCTAATAAAGGCAGGATCTAAATCTGAAGTTTCACCTGGCAGGACAAAACCCTTCCCCTTCTCCCTACCACTTAGTGCTGTGCTTAGATCTCTGCAAAAGGCCCATCAAATGCAACCCTCAGCTCCATCCCTCCCCCAAGTCAGTGTTTTCTCCATGGAGCACTGACCACATCACTCAATGGCTAATTCAGTGACTCAGGAGAGCAACATCCTGGAAGAGCAAACGTTATTTGATTCTGCGACTGGGTGTAGTGTGCAGTACAGAGCTCCTTCACGTATTATTCTGCTCTATGATGGCTTGGAATAGCGAGTTTCTTTAGGGAGAAATAATCAGGTATTACTTTGGCCTTTAATTCTCACTCCACAGTGGGCCTCCTTTGAGTAAAGACTGCCGACTGTGACAAATTGTGCTGCATCAGAGCTATAATATGAAGTGGAGTCCATTAAGAACTGAGCTGAGATCACCAAACTCGTTTTGATTAACCTCCAGGTCACTAAACACTTATAAATATGTTACACAGCAGCTGCTAAACATATTTATATATGCTTAAGGTCACAGCATCATCTGTTGGTTGTTGGAGTTAAGTCAAAAATCTTATGTCTCCTTCTGTGTTGCTTTTAGTAAAGGAATATCCAACATCTTATTTAAGTAGTAGTTATCTCAAAATATAGTACCAGCCTCTCTCCTACACATCCCAATTCCCCCCCTCCTTTTTTTCTCGGAGGCTAAATAAAAATCAATAGGCTTTTAAAAACTGTTTGCTGTACATGTAGTGACATCTAATGGCAAAAAGTCAACTGACCAGCTACCAATTGTATAGCTGAACAAATCCAGCTAAGTACTGTATACAGTTTTACAGTATTTACCATGCAAACACCAATAGTTGGAGTGCTTAGGGATACCACAAGAGATAATTAGGAATACTAGGAAAGAATTAAGAAAAAAACCATTCATGTTAAGTATAATGGCAAAAAGATGTCCAAGGGAGTAATGGAAATCCCAGTTCTTGGCATTTCTTGCATACATACAACACAACTCATTAGATAATACACTGCCTTGTGTATGAACTAGATGATCTGTCAGGTATTTTCCAGCTTTAGCTCCTTCAGTTCCACGATCCCAAATTATATGTGTGTTTTCCTCCTTTAGGAGGAAAAGCAGCTGGTTTAACACAAATTAGGGATTATGCTACTGATTTAAACATACTAGAGCCTAAACATCCTGTTTTTTTTCTGCTCTACTGTTACAAGTAGAATATTTCACAAACAAACAAACAAAAGAAATTAAAAGCGGGAAGGAGGGGTGAATCTGCGTGGGTTTTTGTGCAGGAACTTGGCAAGAAATGGAAGCTGGGTTCTGCAGTGGGAAGGCAGGAGGCCCAGGGCAGAGCTGGCACAAGAGAGGCTCAGGCTGGGTTTACAGGAACACTTTTCCCAAGGAGGCCAGACAGGCCATGGATCGGGTCGCCCAGAGAGGTGCTGCAGCCTTGGAGGCGTCCACGACCCAACTGGTAAAGCCCTGAGTGGCCCTGTCAGAGGTGGCAGCTGGCCCTGAGCCGGGCAAGCGGTTGGACAGGGAGCTCCTGAGCTCCCGTCTGCCCGAGCAACCCTGTGATCCTGCAGTTGTCAGCTGCACTGCTCTGCTGGCAGCGCCAGGCCCAAAATTCAACCCGTCAACTTCAAAACATCTCCTTTTAAGAAGCTCCTGTTCTGTTGTTTTCCTTCATTTGCAATCTACCCTGAAACTTAATCTGCACTTAATCTCTTTTCTCTGCAAAACAGGTAGCATCAGATCTAATTGTGCCTCCTGAGCTAAGGCAGAAGCCCACGCATTAAACGAGGGGATGACATACGAAATCTGGTCATCGTTAACAGGCAGAACAAAGAAATCACAAGAAGGAAAAGTACTGACAGTACAAAAGAGGCATCTGAGTGATCACAGCTGCTGAACAGTGTCTCTTGTATTGAGATATGTTTCTCTAATTGGGCCTGAAATCACCAGTAGGTTTCGTGTGTTGTCTCCAACTGTTATGGGGAAGCTGCTATGCAGAGCTGAGCCACTGTGTTTAATACTTGCTGGTATGTGGTTTAGGACTTCCTCAGTGCTGCCATGTGATGAAGGCTTTTGCTGTCATCTTGCTCATATTTGAGTAGATCGCTAATTACAAAGCTGAGTTCAGAGGCAGATCCAGCTACAGCAGAATGACAATAAAAGTGGACTATGCTTCTCAGAAGGACAAAGAAATACATACAGCTTTTTGTATAGAAACATGTCAAAGCCCAGGGTTTATTTTCTGTGGATTTTCTCTGGCATGTATCTGGCTACGTCTCT